CAAATACCAAACTCATTGCCGTTGAGTTGGATCCAACTCATAGCGACCCCTCCTTGGTTTCTGAGGTGGTACCGCTACAGAAGTAGATTGCTGGATCTTCCTTCCAAGGAGTGGCTGGTGGGAGTGTGAACTGCCAGCCTTCTGGTTAGCAGTCAAATACCTTAGGCACTATGCCATCGTTAGTACACAGTTAAAAATATATGTGAATTCTTCATAGACGTGTACTTTTCCCCTCCATCGGAAGGAGTCTTAGCTTTCATCAGATTCTCAGTGGTTTTAGAAGTCCCTCCTCTAATGTTTAGCACTATTGTTCTAGAAGTAGGAATAGTCTTGACTCTTAAACTTTAGATGACTTTCTTAACAGCCGCAAAAGAGTTAACAATCATCCCTCCGGTTATTCTCCTCTGCAACATTGTTGATTACTTCCTGGAGATATTCTCAAAATTGTTCCTTCTATCCCAAGTACTGATTGTATCAAACTTCTCCATGGTTGTGTGACTCCTTATACCAGCATCATAAACATAAGCCGGGAAAGCACAAGGTGAATCTAGGTAAAGCAAATTGTTTTTCATAAGTGGATGTACTTGGTGACACAAAGCTGTGTCACCAAGTCATAGATAACCTAGTGGAGTTTCAAAACAAAGCTAGAACTCTACATTTCTGTAACCATTTGAATTTAATTATGTGGAGGCTTCACACACCTGGCACAGAAGTACCATATGCTAATCATAAAAGAGATCACAAAGCACTAAAGACTAGAAGAGCTCAGGAAAAAGATAACTCTCCTGTCCCAAACCTGACTTGAAACCCAGTGCCAGCCACAATATACATTAATTATTTGACTACAGCTTTTGCTTAATTAGGCAATTTTGTATGATGCATGATAATCTTGAGCTTTTTAACCCTGTCCAGAGAGTTTTAATGGGAAACTTTTTTCTTCCCAGTAACAAGTATTCTTTAGCAAGCAGGAGAGCACTCATCCCAGATTGGCCTTCCTTGAGCTGGCTTTGCTCATGTTATCAAACTTTCTGTTGCCAGCCAAGCAACTTTACAGCCCTTTAGTTGTGCAGATAAGGAGCTCTGGTGGCCCAGAGTGGTCAAGGCATTTGACTGCCTAACCAAAAGGTCAGTGGTTTGAACCCACCAGCTGCTCCATGGGAGAAAGCTGAGGCAGTCTGTTTTCATACAGGTTTATAGCCTTAGAAACCCTATGGGGCCAGTTCTACTCTTCCTGTAGGGTCACTATGAGTCAGAATCAACTCAATGGCAGTGGGTTTGGTTTCTTTGCTTTAGTGGTGCAAATGGTTCACGGTTTGAACCACTAGTAGTGCAGCAGAAAGAAATTCTAGCAGTCTGTTTCCGTAAAGATTACAGCCAAGAAAACCTTATGTAAGACTTCTACTCTGTGACACATGGGGTTACCGTGAGTTGGAATCAACTCAAGGGCAACAAGTTTAAACTAGATATTTAAGTCCTTGGGTGGGGCAGATGGTTAACACACTTGGCTCCTGAGCAAACAATTGATGGTTCACGTTCACCAGAGGTGCCTTGGAAGAAAAGCCTGGTGCTCTACTTCTGAAAAATCAGCCATGAAAACCCCTTGGAGCACAGTTCTCCTCTGACACACACGGGTTGGAATGAGTTGGAGTCAACTTGATGGCAGCTGGTTTTAATCTGGATACTAAAGGACTTCATGATAATGCTTGAGGAGAATGGCCTGGTGGCCAGTCAGGACATCTTGCCAGGTCCAAGCTGCCTGCCTGCTTCTGCCCCTTAGCCCACCTGAGAGTGAATGGTATTTTTTTGTTGGCTTATGGCTGGCTTAGGTGAACTCTTAAGTGAACATGTCAATGAACTAGTCAGTGTCCTTACTATTTACCACACCAAAGGACACTCATTTTTTTCTGCCTTTATATTTTCTTCCCACTGCTCGGACTGACTATACCCCACACTGCTGTATATTCTTGATATCTTGTGTTTTCCCCTATCTCCTTGATGGTGAGCTCCTGGGAAGCTTGTCTCTGTATGACTAGCAGTGCCCCACACTGTCAACCATCCCACGGATCTGAGAGCTGTGGATGGAGCAAGGATCTCTGGCACCAGTGCAGGGCCAGAAATCCAAGTTGGAGACCCAGGAGAATGCAGGCCGGATGTACGTTCAAAAGCAGCAGCTTTCGAACAATAAAACTGCAGAAGTCATTAGGATTGGTTTCATATGTGTGTAGCAAGTCAGAAAGGCGGAGCAGGGTGGGAATGCTGTCTGCTTGCTTAAATGTTCACTTAAGAGTTCCTTTAAGTTGACCAGAAGCTCTGGTAGCGTAGTACCTAAGACACTTGACTGCTAACCAGAAGGCTGGCGGTTCAAACCCACCAGCTACCCTCAGAAGGAAGGTTGGGCAATCTACTTTTGTAGTGATACTATCTCAGAGACCTAAGGAGGGGTCACTATGAGTCAGATACCACTTGACAGCAGTGGTTTTTTTTTTTTTTTAAGTTGACCGTAAGTCAAGAGAAATACTGTTAGCTCTCAGTGGGGCTGGGGGGCAGAAGCAGCAGACTGACTGCTGGGACCTAGCAAGGACCAGAGGCATATCCATTGCACCTATGGCAAGCACCGAAATTGGGCCCTTGAAGGGGCATAGTGAGTGTGTGCCCGGGGCAATCTGTAAATTGTGCCCCTTCCCCCAATTTCAAGATGACTGGATGTTGATAGTGGGCTATGTGGCAGCAGAAACGCCTTCCCCTCCCCCCTCGTCTGGATGCCTTTTTCGTATTTGTAGCACCTTGAAATGTCATTCCATGCCGCTTCTGGTACTCCCTTGGACTTGCCCTTGGGAAGGTGTCCCCCTGTGCTTCCCCCCCCCCCACGCCTTTGTGTCTACTGTCTTGAGGAAGGACATTAATAGAAACTACTCAGTAGTGTCCACCTTCAGGTGGTACCCAGGACACGTGCCATACCTGGCATACCTTGGTTACACCTCTGGCAAGGATAGCACCTTGACCTTTTCTTTCAGCGCTTTGCATCCATCTAGCTAATATTCAACCCATATGAATCTATGGCACTTAAACTTTTTAATATATTAGTATTTTTATATATGGATGGATCTGTGGATCCACTATGTTCCACACTTTGAGAAGTATAACTTCTTTGAAAGTTAATTTGGAGCTTTTGTGGTTCTAGCAGGTGAAGTGTGAGAAGTGGTTTCTTTTTCCCTCCTCAGGTCTCAGTCTTAATCTTATTCTTCTTAGGTACTCATTCTCAAAATACTGTTGAAAGATCACAGTGCTGAGGAAGTTTCCCACATTCCCACATCCTTGCTGAGAACAACAGTTCTACTACCTAGCCCAGGGATTTTGTCATACAAACAACTCTACAGATAACAGAAGTGTTTGTTATAGGACAGATTGATCATGTGAGTGAAATGAACATAATTCATTTTTTGTCTCCCCTCTGGAAATGAGCCCTGGTGACACAGTGGTTAAAGCACTTGGCTGGAGCCTTGGTGGTGCTGTGGTTAAAGCAGTCAGCTGCTAACCAAAAAGTCAAATCAAAAGTTTGAACCCACCAGCCACTCTGTGGGAGAGATATGTGGCAGTCTGCTTCTGTGAGAGTTAAAATCCTATGGGGTAGTTCTGTTCTGTCCTTAGAGTCTCTATGAATTGGAATAGACACAATGGCAGTGCATTTGGTTTTGGTTTTCCCCTTCTGGAAAATGCTCATTCTTCAGCTGCCACTGTCCCTTCCCTTGGCAACGAGCACTGACCCAGAGATGGTACCTCTGACCAAGATCATCCCATGAGAACCTGACCCATAGTTGTTTTACCCTGAGTCCAGGGAGCGTATGTTCGTCCTTCTCTGACAGCAAAGCTAGAGGTTTGAATCAAGAAGCCTTCCAGAGAAATTTCCTCTTTCACTTAATTAGTTTGAGTTGGAGTTCTATCACCTTGCAGCAAAAAGAGTTATATTCCTTAACCCTTCCGTTGGCTTTCTGTTCCCCAAGGATTTAAGTTTCATGACAGCAGGACTGTGAGGGACATGGATTCTTGCTTCAGCAAGGACCTCAGTGTGGTTCACTGCAGCAAAAGTGGTCTGCCTCTGCCTCTCACTGTGTTCAAAACCCAGAGTTGAAAATTCCTCTGTTCATGGAGTGAGGGAAGTCTTTTTTGTGGCTCTTGTGTTACGTGTGTAGATGTTAAAGGTTACTGTCAACAAGTTCAAGATAAAATTAGGGAGCTAAAATAAAGAGATGTAATTTTTAGGGAAAACTAATAAGACACAAACCAAAAAACCAAACCTGCTGGATCAAGTTGATTCTGACTCATAGTGACCCTATAGGACAGAGAAGAACTGCCCCATAGAGTTTCTAAGCTTGTAAATCTTTATAGAAGCAGACTGCTGCATCTTACTCCTACTGAACAGCTGGTGGATTCGAACCACTGACCTTTCAATTAGTAGCCTAGAGTTTAACCACTGTATCAAGACATATGGGCCTTTATTGACTGATGTTGTGTTTAGGTTACTTGGCTTAAGTTCATCTGTTTTTCTTATATAACACAAACCATGCCTACTTCACTTCCCCTACCCCCACATAAACAAAACAAGGGGAAAAACCTAAACACCAGCGAAACCTCACAAAACTATGAAGTTATCAAATTGATAGCAAAACTTTTTATGTATGCCACACGGTTCTTTAGGTATTTAACTCATTTAGTCCTCACAGTGGGAGTTCCTGCGTTTTGCAGTGGTTAAGGCTGCTAAATAAAAGGTCACCCAGAGGTACTTCAGAAGAAAGCCCTAGTGATCTACTTCCGAAAAATCCATTATTGAAAACTCTGGAGGATGGTTCTGCTTTGACATGTATGGGGTCTCCATGAGGCAGCGTTGACTCAATGAGGAAATTGTTCAGAGATAAATCAACGTCTTCTGTAAGTCACATGAACTGTTTGACCATGTTAGAAGTAAGTAAACCCTAACTCTCTTTCTCACCCCTCACTTTCAGTTTCTCTGGCAAGAACATCCCCCGAGATGGCAGATGAGAGCAGCAGCAGCACCGGGGAGTGTGTGTCCTTCAGTGTGCTGAACTGGGATCAGGTTAGCCGGCTGCATGAGGTCCTGACTGAAGTCGTCCCAATCCACGGACGAGGCAACTTTCCGACCTTGGAGATAACTCTGAAGGACATTGTTCAGACTGTCCGCACCCGGCTGGAGGAGGCAGGCATCAAAGTGCAGGACGTCCGACTGAATGGCTCTGCAGCTGGCCACGTCTTGGTCAAAGACAACGGCTTGGGTTGCAAAGACCTGGACCTAATCTTTCATGTGGCTCTTCCAACAGAGGCAGAATTTCAACTGGTTAGAGACGTTGTTCTGTGTTCCCTTCTGAACTTCCTGCCTGAGGGGGTAAGCAAGCTCAAAATCAGTCCAGTTACTCTTAAGGAGGCTTATGTCCAGAAGCTGGTGAAAGTCTGCACAGACACTGACCGCTGGAGCTTGATCTCCCTCTCCAACAACAACGGGAGGAATGTGGAGTTGAAATTTGTTGACTCCATCCGGCGCCAGTTTGAGTTTAGCGTGGACTCTTTTCAGATCATCCTTGATTCTTTGCTTTTGTTCTATGATGACACCAATAACTCCATTTCTGAGCACTGCCACCCCACAGTGATTGGAGAGAGCATGTATGGGGACTTTGAGGAAGCCTTTGATCATCTGCAGAACAGACTGATCGCCACCAAGAACCCTGAAGAAATTAGGGGTGGGGGACTTCTCAAATACAGCAACCTCCTTGTGCGGGACTTCAGGCCCACAGACCAGGAAGAAATCAAAACTCTAGAGCGTTATATGTGCTCCAGGTTTTTCATCGACTTCCCGGACATCCTCGAACAGCAAAGGAAGCTGGAGACCTACCTTCAAAACCACTTTGCTGAAGAAGAGAGAAGCAAGTATGACTACCTCATGATCCTTCGCAGGGTGGTGAATGAGAGCACCGTGTGCCTCATGGGGCACGAACGAAGGCAGACCCTGAACCTCATCTCCCTCTTGGCCTTGCGCGTGCTGGCAGAACAAAACATCATCCCCAATGCCACCAACGTCACCTGTTACTACCAGCCAGCTCCTTATGTCAGTGATGGCAACTTCAACAACTACTATGTTGCCCATCCTCCAGTTACCTACAGCCAGCCTTATCCTACCTGGCTGCCCTGTAACTAACCTTCAGACCTAAGGGTTTCCACAGTGGGAACCCCAACAGGGCTAGGGCTCTCAGGTAGTGGAGCCTCCTTCTAGATTTAGGTGTTTGGGTTTTAAAGGGGAACTCAGCTCTGATTCTGCTTTTTTTTTTTTTTTCTCTCTGTGTGCCCATTGGAATGGGTACACAGGATCTCATGAGCCAACCCTAAAGGGACCTATATGCCTGTACCACTTTGGAAAATGCTATTGGAAGAATGGCTTATCCACATCTTTCCAAAATAGACACTAACATGTCACATCCCAAACATTAGCACATAGGAATTTGATCTCTGTGCAGTAATGAGATTGGAGAAAAGCTTGGGTAATATATGAGAAGTGTTAAGCTACTTGTCTTCCTTCTCACTTGAGCCTGGAATCAGCTGTGTTAACCCTCGGGATTCTTGGCAATTACATGGAAGTTGTACTGGTAGTCTGTTTTCTCATATCAAGTTTAATCAGGCAGAAAATGGTAAGCATGAGGGTGCACTAGTGATTTACTTTTTTGTTCAAGGTACTTACATTTATCCCATCAGCAGAGCTGAGAGTTTCCTCCATCAATAAACCAAGGGCAGTAGCTGGAGAACTGAGATCTGGTTAGAAGTGGTTTATGATTTAGATGCTGTGCTGTCACAAGGAATCGTGTGAAATTGCTGAGAGAGAGAGAGGGAAAAAAAAATGACCTAAGTTTCCTGAAGTGTAACTTGAAAACAAAATAAAATGTGGAACCTAATGTTAAAGTAGAATTTTGGTGGTGGTGGGTAATTATAAGTAGGAAACAATTTAATTTTTTTCTTTTTTCTTTAGTGTGAGAAATTCTTATTGAATGACCTTCCCCCCCCCCCCATCAGTTCTTTTCATGGCTGACTTTTGTTTTTGCTCAAGGATTGTAGTGAATCTAGGGTCATTATAGTAACTGACATGAGGGTCTTCCTCATTGGAAATCCATTTTGGTTATATTCCAAGCATGACAAGCCTTTTTCTAAAAAATCAAAAAGTATGGTTTCCTCCCCCAGGTGTTTTCTGACAGCAAATGAATTCTGGAATTACAGCAGACCTGGACCACCTGTGGAATGATCTGTTTTGTGGGCAGAGTTCTTTGGCTTAAAGTTGCTAACCTGCTGTCTCTGGGCTACATGTGAAGGTAGGGGCTGAGCATTGGGTCTGGCCCTGTGTACATCAGAGCAACGTAGGCACTTTGGAATGATTAATTCTGGTGTATCTGAGAAGAATTGAATGAATGAATGATCTTCCTTATTCTGATAGATTAAATCATTCTTGTTCTGTATTTTTGAGGGAAAACAGTGTTAAGCTTAGTAAATGGGAGAGAGATCTAAGCTACTATTGCTTTTCGCAGTAGAGTTAGATAAGGGATTTTGTGTGTTGAAATGTTTTCTGGGATCTCAGAAGCATCACTTTAGGGTATCAAGGGCAAAGACACTTACTATTGCCAGCTTGGTTTTTAAAGTTATTTAATAAAATCCATGCTTCTGATTTTGAATTTATTCTGTGGCCATGAAAATATCAAACCTTGACTGGTTGTTTTCTCCTTGCTTTGAGCAACGCAGTTATCTTAATACATAAATGCTTAGTAGAAAATGAATGGTTTACTTCTAAAGGTATATTTTTAGGTTTCTTCTGGAAGGTGATGTCTTAGTCCTCTTAAATGAATGCTGATAAGAAATGACTGAAATCCAAGACTTGGCTGGTGTCCATGTTGTGTGATTTGAGGTGAATAGAAGCTGCTTGTTGGTATAATCAACACCTGTGTCCCCATGAGCCTTAGTTATATTGAATTCACTGGCTTTGAGTAAGGCTAGTTCTTGAGAGGGGCCCCAGGATGCTTCACTGTTTAAAGGGGGAGTGAATCCTAGCAAAGAGTGAATGCCAGCTTTAAAAATGACCTGGTCATCCATGACCTTAAAAAGCTGCCGTTGTGGTCAAATGGCAACATGTTTACACAAAAATGGCAGATCTTGGCAGATATGTTTAACCAAAGCTTTGAAATGTGACAGCTTATGCTGTCAACATAAGCACTTGCTAGCTTCTTACAGAAATCAGTATTGCTTCTACTTAGAAGGCTTGGGGATCAGGGTATGAGGCACTGGATGGAGATAGGATCAGAATGGCATCAAGTAATTAAATTTTTAGTTGGTCTTTGAAGTTCTTTCTGCTTATATTTTTTTTTCTTCTCTGGTAATAGTCCTTGCCAAAGGAGACACAGAAGTTGATAGAAATTTCCAGCCCTCCAATTCTTCACCACTGTGGCAGGATGGCCATCTTACCATAACGATACTTGCCATCTTGGTAGTTTTTTTACCTAGAATTCTGTTCAGCCCAACTGTTTTTGTAGTTTGATAGTAGACATGTGTTCTAGAACCATTAGGGGTAAAAAGGCTGCCTGCAGCTCAGGATACCATTGTATTAATAACCAAAGCTGCACTTTTAAAACACAGCTCCTGGTATAGTGGTATCTCCACCTACTTTGTGAGCCTTTTACCAGCCTTGGAATAGACCAGGCAACTTGAAGTTCAAGTGAATAGGAATTCCAGCTGCAACTTGCCTTTCATGCTTCTTCCAGAAACACCAGGGTACTTGGAACTTGTACTGAGTCCAGTGGTTCTTCTTTTGTGTGTGTTGAATAACATGAAACTTGGCGGTGGCAGAGGGCATTAAAGTTCAAGTTCTAATCTAAATTTAAGCAGTGTCTCATTTACTTCAGGATTCTGAACATTTTTCCAGTTTTTGTAAGTGTGCAGCCTGTTACCCCATTCTGTTTCTTGGAATCAGGTTGAAGAGCAGTGAGATTAAAATGGTACTTTTTCCCCTTGTGTTGGCTGAAGGGGACATGCTAAATTCCTAGCCTTGAAATTCAGTTTCATCCTTAAATCTTACCTTGTGATAAGACATTGCCCCTCACTCACAATTTCAGCTCACACCGTTTGTACTGGAGATTTTGCTCACTGGCTGCACATGGGATGAGAGATGGCCCAATCTGGAAGGACCTGGTAGATATGGGGAGTTGAGTAAGATGTTGGTCCATGTCTCTGGTACAGATGTGGTTTGGCATTCAAGTTTATTTCCCTCTGGTTTGATTTTCCCTTGGGATTTGAGTCACAACAAGCTGTGTGTAATCCTGAGTTTTGTGGTGGCATATTAATAATCAAATTGCTAAAGATCTGACTCTGCTTGTCCTTGAACTTCTCCTCTAGAACTGACCCCTTACCTTCATGGTAGGTTAGGATTTTAACTAATACCATTTTGTAAACTCTGGGGAAATAGTGCCACTCAAAAGCAACTTCCTAACTTTAGGAATAATTCCTTTCTAGTTCACTTTCTGCACTGGTTCCTTGTTTTAAGATGCAACTGCTTGGATTCTTAGCTTGAATGTCCTCTACTAGAGAGAGAGTTAAAGTATAGTTATCTAATTGTTAAAAAGAAAAAACAAAAAGAAATCCTTATGCTCACTGGGGCCATTTCTTCCTGGATTATCTGTCTGGGGCTCTGCACTAGGCAGAATCCTTTGGGTGGATTCTGTAAGTTGAGAGAACTTCAAGTTTCCAAGGTTAGATCTTTAACTTGACAGAGACCAAAATGTCACAGCTGGCATTTAAACACATTCCAATTCAACCAATTAAATTCAGAATACTAAGGGAGGTGTGTAGGGGGAGGTATTTTTAAAAAACAAACAAACCCCAAACTTGTCAACTTTTCCGGATTATTTGTGAATACTTGTAATGTGAAGATCAGGAAAGAAAAGGGCTGTTTTGTGAGTTCAAGTGCCTAAATCTTGTTTACCTATCACTTTTTAAAAAATAGTTTAAGTGTAAGCTGAAGAAAATACTTGGACTTTTGCCTGGGCTAGTGAGAGTTGGTGCAAATCCTCATGTGTGTTTGTATAGGAAGGTGAGAAGACCATCCACTAAAGAGGAAGTAGTTTAAAAATAGGACTCTGTGGGCTTTTAAACTTTTTAAATTCAAGTTACTTTTTTTTTTTCTTTAATGGATACAACTCTAAATTTTCCAAAGCAGCTATTGGTTTCCAAATTAATATAGGTGAAAAGTAAGATGCCCATTAGACTAAACTAGAAGCTTTTTCATCCTTCTGTATTTGTGTATATTAATTTCTTAGCAGTGCCTAAGATGTATGGGGTTCCTCTTTGTTAATGGTCACTGACCTTCTTACTTGATGCCAATGAAATCACTTGTCAATGCAAAATGTGTTAGAATTTGATGAAATAAAGCTTTGAGTTTGAGAAATAAAATGTATTAAAAAAAATCACTTATGCTTACTCTTTTTTTGTTTCTCTTCAATGGTGAACTTATGCTGGCTTACAGGAAGCAAACGTTGAATGATGGTGGATGGTTGGCAACATGATGACATCTGATACTTCTCTGAAACACTGATTTCTCTGGACTGGGGATGAGGAGTTGTGTTGTGTATAGTTATATTGGGAGCCATAATTCTCTTAATATTTGGAATCTTCTCCAAGGTTCTTTACTAATTTAAACTGAGCTGGTCTTGATCATATCCTATTGGCTGATACTTATGGTAGGTGGTATACTTTCTATTTGATTTGCCTTAATGGACATCTTAGCTGATTGAGTACTAAAGGCCAGGTTATCTTGAGCTTGACCTTGGCCCCAACCTCAACCATAAAATATCCAGCTACTATCATTGTTTCTTCACATTTTTAAAGAATTATAAAAGTGAGGTAGTGATATTTGAATAGCTGATGTTTCAAGGATTTGAAAAAGATACCATAGACCCTCCTATAGTGACCAATTGTCTTCCTTATTCCTTTAATCCAATTCATAATACCCTTGCCCACATCCAGCTTATTGGCTTTATCTTCCCACCACCTTTTTTCTTGTATGAAAAATGCCACAGGTGCATCATTACTACTCAATATACAAGCCTTTCAAGCCCTCATCTCTCCGCCCTCATGCTGACTCAGCCCCACCTCTTCCATGACACCTCTCTCTCTGCTGAATTTAATTCATGTGGTACCCATCTGTAACTATTGTCAAGAAACTTAAAACTTTCACTGTAAAATCTTCCATCCATGAAGGCAATCATGCCTTCATCCTCTGCTCGGTAAACCCTTCGATCTGAGGATGAGTGTTCTCTGGGGTTCAACAGGTGTAGAGTCCTTCCAGATTACTTCCTTGTAGCATTTATTCCATAAGCTTTTCTCCTGAAGCCCTGACTGCCAGCTCACACCACCCATGCTCACACCACCCATGCTGCATTTTTCCCTCCTTTCATCCTGGCATTGTCACTGTCTGTGTCAGCAGCCTCTTTAGCCTTATAATTAATTACCTCCAGTCTAGCCACCTACTCATAATAGCTAGACTTTGTCTGGATCTAGAGCTACTCATGAATGTTGGAGTGACTTTCTTCTCCCTCCCATTACAAGAACTAGGATCAATTGAAGAGCAGTTTTATGGTGTCGTCATGCCTGTGAGCCATCGCTAGGATCCTGTACCTCATTTGTACCACACAGACCTGAAGTGTTCCTTGACTCTAGCTTCTTTGTTTAGACTTCAGCTCTTGCCCAAGCTATATCCTCAGTCTTGTCACTTAACTCCATCTTTTTTCTTTCTTCTTTTTTATTGTGATTTGGGTGAAAATTTACAGAGAAAATTCACTTTCCATACACTTTGTCTCATGACACTGACCACAATTTACCCCAATGCAACAGCTCCCCTCTCTCTTCCTCCCAATA